GGGTTACATATTACTTAGAGCTATGTATGTTCTGAGTAAACAGAATATACATACAAGTATATTAATAATTGATAAAACTAGTGGCGTGAAGGGTTTTTTTCTGAATTAAACAACAGTTTTTATGCCCCGGACTAATAAAAATCTTTCTTTGCAAAGTTTTATCAAGTGTCAATGAAAAATAAATATTAGAAGTATTAATATACTTTAGATGAGACATGTCCACTTCGTCCGCATTCATACAGATGTTTTGAAATTCTCTTAGTACATCAGCAAGTGTGCATTCAACTTCCTGACGGGTGATAGTACTAATTAAAAGCTTCATTACATGTAGCTAATTTAAAACGTCCTTCTTACGTTCTTAAGCTATTTATATTATTTTGCTGCTATATAACATAATCTTAAATTTTAATAAAAAATTCGGTAATCGCTTTTCATACTTTTTTAACTGTTTCTGCTTTATGCACTTACTGATTTATGATTCATCTCTGTTTGAAAATAAGATGAATAAAGCATTACGATACAAGCTTATTTATAATATTAAATAAAACTTAAATTACAATGAAAAAAGAAATAAAAACTATTCCATTGAAATAAAGTTTTTCTTATAATTAAAAGTTTCCATTCCATTAGAACAGTTGTAGATTATAGAGTAAAGAACTTAATTATATTATATATAATTAATATATTGTCATTTACTTTTTTATACCGTATAAAAAATTTAATTGAATTCATTAAAATTTCTTTATAAATAAACTTATATGGTATAAATATATATTATAACTCCTTTATTAAACTTCTATTTACAGTAATGAGCTTAATATTGGAAATAAGTAGAAATACATATCTTTAATATTTAATTATTCACTTTTTGCTTTATAAACAACTTTATTAAATTAAATATACTCCTATATTTGTATAACTTCCTGGTTAATATGGTAATCATATAACAGGAATAGATTTTGAGAACTGATTAAAGGGACCCTATAAATACTGCAAGGCATACTGCAGCTCTCTCGTCACTTAGAAAAATTACTCATTGTAGAAATTGTAGAAACTAACAGGAAAAAGAAATTATTAAGCATTACCTATGCGTATCCTAGATTCTAGCCTCCAGAAGAAATAGATTTCTAGGGAAGTAGTTTTTGAATGGTCTGTCGAAAAACTATCGAGAAGAAAGCACGAAAAATTTAATAAATTATATAATTCAACGAGATGGATTTACTTTTTGTCTTTTTATATCTTAAGATTCTCATTCCTAGCTTAGTGGTAGCAAAATGTAGAAAAATCGCTAATGGAGGTCAGCGGGAAGTTATTTGCACTGCCGCTACTGTAACCAGTCTATACTATAAACATTTTAATTAAATATTTGCATATACTGACGTGATGTAAGGATAGTAGAAATATTTCCTTCATAATAGTGATTCCCAACCGATGGTCCGTGAGATGGTTAAAAATAGTCCGTGAAGCAAATTTAATAGGTATGGATACATAGTTTATGCACTGAGACTTCACTTATTAGAAAATAAGCACAAAATATTTGCAAATAATTATATACCTATTTTATAGCCTATATAATGTACCAGCACTAATATAATTCAATATACATTATACCAGAAATAAGCATCCTGAAAAAATAGATTGTTAGAAAGATAATTCTTTGACAGTCTGTCAGACTGTTTATCAGTGAAGACGAGAGGCCTATTAAATTATCCTAATTCGACAGGATGAATATAGTCTTTACTATCCAATTTATTATACAATGAACTGTTACTACAACTAACCAACCATACCAGAGATGCATAAAGTATATTAAACAAATCATAACATTATTATTATTATTCGTAAACTTTGTGGTCCCTACTAAAAACAATAATATCCTTGTGGTTTTTAGTCAAAACAAATGTTGGGAACCACTGCTTTATAACCAAATATAATGTTTCTTTAGATATTAAAAACTTTTTCACCTATAATTAATTTTTATTTCACGACTTATTTAAGAATATTTTTTAGAAATCATTCAGTTCATAATCGATAACTGAAATCGTATTTAAGTTGTGAATAGTTGATATTCACCAATACAAGAAAAACCTTAAAGAAAAACCTCTGTATAAACAAAACAAAAGGCACTAACAACTAACCAAATCACAACAACAACAACAACAAGAACAACAAGAAAACAAAATAATCATAATGACACACAAAATACGATGATACCAACGCCTTCAACAAAATTTGTCGAAACTTTATCAAGTAAAACAAATTTTGTGTCTGCGCTGCGATGAAGTTATCACTGTTGTTATTGCTGAACATTCTGTTCTGTTGTTGTGGCTGTTTGTGTTGTTAGTTTTGTAATCCTTAAAGTTTGTGCCAGTGTTGCTTGCTTGCAATATTATCGATGTTTCAGAACTTTATTATTTTGTCTCTGTTGTTGTTGTTTTTGGAGTGGGAAAATTATTAAACACAGCAAAGCATAGCGTTGTCAACGCTTGTTAACATAATGCCACAGCATTTTTCTTCTTGTTGATGCTCATCGGTGACATCAAAGCGAAATGAAAAATAATCATTGCATACCTTTCGGCAAAATTAATCAGGAACCATTTTTTTCTCATGAGGCAGCAAAGTATCACGTTAAACGAAATGGCGTAAATATTGTAAAAGGGCAACTATGATGATAATCGCTTTGAGGTCTTCAATTCTCAAAGTTCGAAAAAATAACATCAGTGACAGAAAGTCATTTAAGTTGGAAAGAGCATTTTATTTCGTGAAATTGAATGTGAAAAAAATATTCTTTTGCTGAAGTTGAGATTAATATATTACTTTGAAAGGAATAATTCTAAAATATATCTTGTGCACCATAAAATATTTCATATTATTTATACAGTAAAAATATTGTTATATTTTGTCATTCTTTGTAAAGATAACATTTTTGTTATCCTAACGTTTTGGTTAAGAAGATTTTAATATTTTCCTTGTTTGTGTTTAGATAGGTTCCCAAGCTTTTGACAGTTAAAATTTGAAAAATTTGTTTCTATAAAAAGGTTTGCGCTTTATGGCAGCAATTTTTAATATTTTTAGATATTTGTAAAAAATATCAAAAACTTTTTTTAATATGACGTGAGACTTGAAGCAGTAGCTTAGACATGATTTAAATATAAAACTTATTTTATTAATATTAAATTGAGGTAAATACATAAGTACAGAATTTAAAACCAGTTGTGAGCTTGTGTTTTTGATGGTGGTATTAATAAAAACTAATAACTAGAGTTAAATAAATAAAGTTAACAAACTGTATTAATTAAAGAATTAAATTTACTGTTCAAAATCCATTGATTCTAATCCGAAAACTCTTTAAAACTTAACAGTGATTACAGTATATTCTACATCTATAGACAAGGCCGTAACCAGTAATGAAATGCGAGAGGGGTTTTAAGATAATGATATAAAATAATTTATTGTTTCTTCATTTATTATCAGATAAATAAAAAAAATTGTCTTATTATATAATCATTTGCATTATTATTTTGGTTTTCTGTAAGCAGAAAGCATTGCAAATCATAATGAACCCATTAAAACTATCTTTTAGCAACGAGTTGAGAAGATCTCAGCCATCAGATCTTAAAAGACTTCTCGCTGTATATATCAGCTATTAGGGGGTCAAACATAGGATCGTTAGTATTTGAAGTTTCAAAGATATCTAAGCTAGGAATGAGAACGTAGTATACATTAAATATGGGAAACCGTATTGGTTAGCTTTTGAATATTTATAAAAGGTTAAGACTCTTTCAGAGTATGATCTATGCAGAATACGTTAGAAATATTATAAAAACGCTAAATTTTTTTAGAATTTAAGTCTGTGTAAAATCCATTTTGACAATTGATAGCTAAATTTTACTATGAATGTGTCATTTCACTAGTAAAAGACTCTTACGTTATAATACTCCATCAATTTCTGAGCAAATCACTTATGCCTACAATCAATGTTTAACTTAGTTCAAGTGAATTTATTTTATAATTTGAAGACAATTATTTTATGATCTGGATCCACCAATAATTTTCATATAATAAATTTAAAAACTTATTTATGTATGCCAATGTAGTTTTTTTAGTTGACTAAGTATATTTTTTACCCATAGAAAATGTAATTATAGGTTGTTTTTCGTTTCATAAATCTTTTGGATATGAAACAGTTTTCATTCTTTTAAAATATAGATGATTTTCGATAGACTTAAAAGAAGAGAGAATAATTTTCTTTTCGAAATTTTTAAAATTCTGTAAATCAAGTCATTACTGTAAATATTTACAAGTTTTTTGTTTCTTTTTTTAAACTTATTACATGATTTCTAAATATTTTATTATAATTTCTTTTTTTAAACTGACCGCTTTAAATTTAAATCTTGTCCTTTTCCTTTTACTTCTTTTAAATGTTTTGCATCAATTGCTAAATTCGGTAAAAATAATATTGTCTTTATTTAAAATAAAATCATGTATTGAAATGCATTAAAAATTAACTCAAAAGTTTTCTTATTTGTATTCTTTTTAGTTCAACTATTTGAGTATATTTCATTTGTTACTCGTACATTGGAGCCAAAGTAAACAAAAATCGTAGCATATTTTCCTTCCAGTTTATTTTCTCATTGACCTCGAAAAAATATTGGTGCGACTAAATAAAAACTCCATCAACGAACGGATATTCTTTGAAAATCTCGTAAAATATTTACAATCGCATATCGCGTATTTTATACCATACACTCTCCAGCTCTTATTCCTTGTACTCCTCTTATTCGTCCTATTTGATTATGAAATTTCATGGTAACCCATTCACAAATGGGGACATTCACGTATGTATGAGTAAAGACTGCATACATTCTCGTCCTCATGCATTTATTCATTCGTTACACTCATTTAAATTTTATTTTTTTCTGTGCAGTTCCACTACTTATTTGCTCTACTGTTAAGTTTAACTGATTGTTTTCATATAAAATTTTCATTTTGATTTGCAGTGGTGCGACGGCAGTACCAAGTGCATGTGGAGAACTCGGAAGTGTATTTGGGGAACTCGGCGTTGATTAAATGCGCGATGCCTGACTATGTGCGCCCGTATGTTAAGGTGACCAGCTGGCAGCGTGGCGAAGAAATTTTATTACCGGATCTGTCGGATGTTGGTAAGTGTTATGCGATTTGGTTAAAGCTTCTTCTCATCCTCCAATGCTTTTGTTTTAATTTCGTTATTTTAAAATAATTTTTATTTTGTCAATCAGTTTGTTTTATTCTTATTTATGCTTGTCTACTTTTATAGAACAGTTGATACGGTAGCACAATTACACTAAAAACACAGAAAATGAAAAAACAAAGTTATCACATATGTTGGCATAT